TCAAACCACTTCCGAAACACCTTGCCTTGAAAACTGCAGGGACTCGTCCAAGTAGTCGCCGCAGAATCGGTAACAATTGAGTGCAGATTAAAAAAAAAAACTCTTCAAAGCTCAACATCATCACCTTAAATAAGACATAGTAAGCAACGGGTATCCAATGCAGAACTCTCAGAACAGGCATCATACAATTTCTGCATCTTGCACTGGTCACCAGCCTGGTTGTCACATTTTGTACCAACTGTAATTTCTGGATCCTTTTTTCATATCAGCAACTGAGATTATGAAGGGTTGTAACAAAGGTATGGATAATTGTTGCTAAATCCAACAAGCTCAGAAAGGGTTGCAGCTGGATTGCAGCTATAATTGTGCCATACCTACCACCTGCAAATCCAGTGATAACTAGAGGTCAAGGGGCATATTCAAATTGCCAACTTTCTCTTTCTGAGGGAATGCAACTTCATCCAATGCCACCTCAATTCCAGGATCCAGGGATATTTTTTTAATCTGCATTTTTTCTACATTTAATTTTAGTTTCCTCATCCAGCCCATAATCAAAATTAGGCAATATTCAAAGTGATGAATGATGTCTTCCTTGGAGCTGGATGATAGGGAGCAGTAAAGTTTCATCAGCATCCCATCCAGAGCTCTGAATGAACTTTCCCAGCAGTTTCATGTATACAGCATAGGAGACAAGATGGAACTCTGTGGAACACTAGAAGTCAATGACTAGGTATCAAATAACCACCACCCCTTAAATGCATCCTGACTGAAAGGTTAGAATGATTGCAAAACAGTGCCCTCTAAAAATCTTGTAAAGTGAAGCACTGGCAAAGAGGAAGCAAAGTACCAAGTGAGGCTGCAGCTATCACCCATTTTTTTAAAAATGTCCTAGAATTTCAATATTGCATTGGATTCCTAGTAATTTAATTCTTATGTACTTGACTGTTAACTCACAAAAATGGCCACTGCCACTGTGATTTAGCTAAATAGCTGAATGTGTTAAACATAAGCAGTAGGCTTCTATAAATAAGCCCTAATACAATTTGATTTAGAGATTTTAAAAAGATATAGTCTAATTTGAATTTGCAATTTGAGATTCAACAGCAAACCAGTTGGATCAGGAATTAAGATTTAAGACTTGATCAAAGATTAATCCATAGTTTAGGGAAGCACCAAAATTCCTGGAGCTGCTTCATTTTTTTTGACAGAATAGAATGGAAAAAGCAGGATGATAGACCCTTTAGAGAACATTAACATGGAGAATTTTCAGTTGAATACCTGCAAGAGTTTTACTCCAATTTATCTTCAAAATATTCCTCCATACCTCTTTTAAAGCAGGGATAGCAGGGGTGAGGAAAGAACAGCATAGCACAGGCAGTAAAAAACCTATAGAAAAGTTGTACAGAATAATACAGAAACTGTGGTATACCAACTTAAACATTAAAATCTCTAAAAACTGTTTAAAAAATAAGCTCTCCCTTTTTCTGGGGTGCCAGACCAGACATGATGGGTCTCAGAAGGGGCAAGAGTGGGCAAGTGACAAATGATAATGCCATTTGCATCATGACACAAGTAACACAAATTCCATAATTTGCATTATCTGTGCAATGACATAAAGGCATGTGAAATCACTGTGGCTTCTCCTAGATGCTGGTGCTGGACATCACACTGGAGAATGTGCTTGGCTGCCTTCTTTGTTCTTGTAGGATGGAGAACCAGGACTTGTATAGATCCTAAAGCTAATGTACTATATATAGTCACCTAAGTCCAAGAGTCCATAAGTTTAATTCCTGGTAGGGAGTTTGAATCCCATACCTTGTATGACAGATTCCAAATAGAATGAAACTGGTTGTGTGAACTGCATCCTGGTGGCAAGTATAACTCAAAGAACAAATTGTATCTCAGAAGACTAATTGGTAGGGAACAAGTAAACAGGAAATGCAGTTCATGTTCTACCTATGAGGCTTCTAGAAACTTCTGACTGGATGCTGTTAGAAGCAGAATTTTAATGATTATTTATGTTGGTGTTGCAAGAAATTTGAGGGCACTTTAACTCATATGCTATAGTCATGTCCTTCCCTACACCCCTTTTGGAGTAATGTTATACAATACATTGACAAAATTATTGAGAAAACCCTGGTTTTTAAATCATGTGTATTGTACTGAATTATATGCTGACTACTTGGAATTTAACATGTTCAGAACAATGATGGGTTTTTTTGTGCTCTAATAAGAGCAAAAAGAATACTTCTCAGAGGTGGAAAAATACTATAACTCCCAATATTGGATCTCAGGGATCTCAGACTTAACAATTTTTGAGAAAATTATATATTTGGTTAATCAGAAAATATCACATTATCTTTCCCTTTAGAAAAAAAAAATCTTGGGCAGGCTTGGTCAGCATTGAAAGCTTAGTTTTCTTCTTTTAAGACTTACAAGATCAAATGAACTCAGGATATAGTTGTAAACACAGTTTTTATTTGTTTCTTTTTATTTTTTGTAAAATGTTTTTCTTTCCTTGAATACTTGTATAAGGTACATTGTTCATTTTTATTTTATTTTACATTATTTTATGGTTGTTTGAAAATGGACTAATAAGAACTATTTAAAAAAAGAAAGACAACCTCTCTGATCCATGTCTCCCATGCTAATGTGGATTGTGTGCTTGTTTGAATGTTACAGTACAATTCTTAATGTGTATTTAATGGTAACTAAATACAAAATGATTATTTGGGAAATATATGCGTAATTTAGATACAGTGAAATAAAAAAATTGGATCAGAACAGTATTCTGATTGAACATATGCAAAACTGATAAACCAGAAATTGGTATGATGCAATAAAGAGTTTTAAGTTCCTACCATTTTCTACACATAAAAGTACATCAAGTAAAAAAAACCTGGAATTAGGTTTCTCAGTTTGAAGTGCCTCTTTTAATTAAGATAGACTGTTTGTCTTGATTATTTACACAGTATATTAGGATATAATATAGAGCAGAAGGCAGGTAGACAGGCAGCAGATCACCAGGCCTGAGCCTCAGCCAAGCTCCTGGGGCGAGGGGTGAGGACAAGGGGTGGGGTGAGGTGTCCTGGGCAACAGCAGCCTCCTTGCTGGCAGGCCAGTGCCATCCAATGGCTGCCATGCTCCTTGGCCTACAGACCTGCCAACTGCGCTTTCAGAAGCAGAGGAAGGGCGGGATCTGGGCCTTTAGAGAAAAAGTTTGTTGACCCTGATATAGAGAATTGGAGTATCCAGTATTGCCTAATCAATATTTTCAGGTTTTAAGGATTGTTAGATATGTATCATATGATTTAAAAAATTGGATAAGTTAAAAACATTGGTATTGGACCCTTCCAATAATGTTTAGAAAAGGTTGGCTGTTGACCTCCTGTGTTGGAGATGTAATAAGGAAGGAATCTTAGTGCATAATGCTATGGATATGTGCAGTGGAATTTCCTTATTGGTTAGATATTATTATTGTTATGGTAAACCAGGCTCTTGAAATAAGATAAGAGTCCAAGTTGTTAATGTGCTTTTAAACTATATCCTATAAATTTGGAATCTCTCAGTCTATGAAGAACTTTGAATATATAGTTCTTGGACTGTGATTATGCATACTATATATAAGAACATGGTTTACATCAAGTTTACATATATATTTCCTACTACATTATTGATATGTAATGTCTTTCAAGAACATTTAACTGTAATGTTTCTAACATTAAAAAAATAGTTGAATTGAATTCCTTAAAAAAGAGGGTATAAATATTAGGGGGAAACTGTATTGTCCATTTGAGAATTGTTGATGCCAACTCATTGTCCTTTGGTCTTGCTAATTTATTTCACAATTGCTCAGGATACGTAATTGTATTATTTTACAGCGAACGATGCAGGTATACCTTGCGTGGCCATAAGGATTCAGTAAACAGCATTGAGTTCCTTCCTTTCTCCAATATTATTCTCACCAGCTCTGCAGACAAGACTTTATCTCTGTGGGATGCCAGAACGGTAGGCAAGCTTATTGCTTTGGGATCTATTACTAATTCATATAAACTGGACGAGCTCAGTGGTTGCTTAATAGGCAAGAGTTAAATCTGTTTCAATTACAAATCAAGTTCTGGGGAGACAATGTGTGATTATAGAGACTATATTTAGAGTCTGCTGAGTGTTATATGACCAGTAGCTGTATAGGATGTATTATTTCCAAACATTTATTTTGAGTTGTAATTTGTCATAGACTACATAATATACCTTTCTTCAGTGGTCACAGGGGCATCTACTGTAAGCTATCTTTTGCTGGTAACACTGAAATGCTTGTTTCTGTTAATGTCCTTAATGTCTTGAGCAAAATGTTAGAATGGTGGCATCCAGTTTGGAAGAAGCCAGTTATCTAGATCTGTTTCAGTCTGGCTTCAGGCCTCAATATTGCATTGAAGAAGTCTTTTTTGCTCTGATGGATGACCTTTACTATGAGACAAGGTGAGTTCTACATTGTGATTCTGCTGGAATTTTCCAAGGTCTTTGACATTACTGATGTAATATTACCACAGCAGCTTGATGGCTTGGGAGTGTTATGGTTGTTCCATTCCTATCTGCAGGAACACCACCAGAGAGTGATAGTGGGAGATTTCTGTTCAGCCCTATGGCACAGTCTAAAAGGGCTCAGTTCTTTCCACCTTGTTATTTAGTATCTGTATTAAGCTCTTAGGGCAGTTATTAGGAGATTTGGAATTGGATGACAGTTTATCTCTTTTTTTCCACTTTAATCAGGAGAAGCTATGCAGGTAGGTGGCAATTATCTGGAGGAAATGATGAAGGCCAATAAAGTGAAACTGAATCCAGATAAAATGGAGGTTCCATAATTAGCTGGTCCTGAGACCTAGGAGTTAGCTTGGGATCTCCCTTTGATTTCAGTCTGTTACTAAAGGTACTGTTGGGGAAGAACATCTGTGCTCAGTTTCAGCTGCTGCATCGCCTATTATCCCACTGGACCTGGGATAACCAAACCTAAGTGAATCCTCATAACTCTCATGCCTGGATGATTGTCATGTTGTAGAGGGAATAGGGAATGGCCTTGAAGGAAAGGAGGAAGAGCCACTAGCAAGGCAACAGTCAGATAAGAGGGGCTTGAGCCCGAGCCAGGAAATTAGTTTGAATAAATGTCTCAGAGAGGCCCCTCCCTAGTTCACATGAAGATAAAGTGAGGGAGGGAGAAACATATTCAGACTTTCAAGATTTGGTTACTATAACTGTTACAATAAAAGCAATCCTGACCTATATGGCATTGGTTTCTTAATCTTGTCTACCTTGTTGGGCTGACACAAATGCAACTGCAGTACTTTCTTTGTGGATTACACCTGAAGGTATCCTGGAAACTGAAGCACACAGGTTCTTAATTGTTAAGTGGTCACAAGAGCATGGCACTTGCAGCCCATGAGCTACCTGGCCTTAATTACAGTAATATTAGTTTATAAAGCTAAAGTTCTAAACGATTTAGGGACTAACTACTTAAAAGATCCCTCCAGTACACATTCCATCCAGCAAGCCAAACTCAGCTAAGAGCACCTGTTCATGATCCTACTGGTTGATCAGTTCATAGTGTAATGTCTAGGAGTAGAGGCTTCTCAGTCACCTAAGTTTGGAACTCTTGCTTAGGGGAAGTATGGTTGGTCCCTGTGTGGCCTTCTTTTATATGTAAAGTGAAGATGTATGTGTCTACCAGGGCATTTCTAGGATAACAATTGCTCCAGGTCCAAAATGTCAAGAACACCTCTTGCCAAACTAACTGTGAACTGTAGGCCTATGAATCCCTCTCCCTTAAAGACTAGAGGGAGTACTCTGAGGAGTTTCCAGGAGAGACAGCATAGGTCTCAATCGACATTAAAATAAAAAACAAAGATTCTTGTTTGTTCCATACCTAAAAAAACAGGAATCATGGTACATTCCAGGGTTTAGAAACATATAGAACATCATAGTTATATCAATAACTTTCTTAATACTCTGTGTGCTTAATTCTATTTATATGGTATTACTATGTAGCTTTTTGTACAGAACTCCTGTCTGGGTAAGATTTAGCAGGCCACATCTAGAAGAGGCTTATTCAAAGTATGTTGACTATTCAGGGCTCAGATCCCTTTATTTGAAGCTCTGAATAACTGGGTTCTAACTGAAGCATTTTCCTTATTCATCCCTAAGCTCTTAATAAAAACTTGGAAAATAAAAATGGAGCAGTTGCTAATAAATAATTTTCACTGTTGAAACAAAACTCTGTATTCATACTTCTGCACTTGGAAAGGAATGTGAATGACAACAATAATAGAAACATTACTAGGTAGCTTATTAGCTGTTCAAATGTAGAGGGTTCTTAATTTCTGAAACCAAGCACATAAAATCCTAATTGATGAATCCAGCATAATACAATACATCTGACTTTACTGATACACTGAACCATCTCATTTTCTAGATTCTTTCTTGTCTAAGTCCTCCATCTCATTGCATGGTGTATAACATTAATAGTTCCTTGCTTTTGAGAACTTGAGCATAGAAGGTAACGTTTTTAGTACAAAACAGTTTTAAAGAAAAGGGGAGAAGAACACTCTATTTATTGGGGCCGAAGCTGTTAAAGTGGAAATCTATCTATAACCTTTATATCAATGATGGGTTTATGATCTCTTGTGTACTGCCCTTATCATACCATCTATTCAGACTTCCAGCTGCGGTTGTCTAGAGAAACCCCTCTGAGGCTATTTGAATTGTGCAGAAATGTTCTTCCTAGCTGAAAAGGGAATTTGTAATCAATTTTCTCCATACTAGGCAAGATGCTTTTTCTTGTCCATATTTACTCTTTAGTTTTCTTCTGCACAAAGTCTCTGGAAGCACCAGAGGGAGGGAACACAATGATAACAGGGTTTACAAATCAATCTTTTCTGTTATTGTTAGAGCTGGGAGCTGAATGTCAATGATAGCCCAAAAAAGACTTTGTAGAAGATGAGAGCCTTTTCTTAACAAGTAGGAAAAAAAGATCTCAACATTGTTTTTTTTTTCAAAGTACATTGATGTTTCAGTGCTGTTGGGCTTTCAGTTCTGGAAGACTTTTTCAAGGCTTACATGTTATAACTGTGAGTTCTGTGCAGAAAGTTGGTCAGTCAGGAAAGTAAGATCAATGTGGCTTGTTGTAGGAACACAACTGATTGGAAACTGTACTATTTCATGTACCAGTTTCCTTCTCAGGTATAAGTGTGAAATCTGCATGGATGCACAAGACATTTTCCAGAACAAATTTTAAGTTGGTGTGAAACTGTGTGCTAAGAGGAACACATAGCAATTAGGAGAAGAGTATTATGAGGTTATAAGTGGGGCAGGTGTCTTATACACATTTCCAAAACCCATCTAATCAAACCCAACCAAATGAACCCAGAGAAGGTTAACTAACTCCACCAGTCATCCAGCATTCCCTGTGCATGCAAATTACTTACCTGATAATTAACTGACCTTTTTGATGTCCATTTCTGAGATAATCCCAATGTGGCCCCATAAGTCATGTTTTCATCCATCCTTCCAAACCACTGAAGATGTGAAAGAGAAAGAATATCTCAAGTGAATGACTGCCTGTTCAATGATATCTATGGCAAAGTTGTTTTCTGGAATCATGGTCTGAATTATTTATAGTCCTGGCACAAGATGAGTGACACCTCAAAGGAACTTATAGAAATGAGTTTGCTAAAACATGATAAGCTTGCTCTGGATACTTTAAACTGAATTCTGCAGAGGCAGGAAGCAAAAATCCTGAATTAAGGACCTCAGATAAAGAGGTAAGCACTGCAGAAGGCATGCTTTAATGGGATCTATTAAACCACTCAGTGAAAAATCAGAATCAAGCTCATAAAATTTATGAGCCTTTGTACTCTGTACACTAATGCTCAGATCATGGAAAATAAACAATGTGAGTTTGAACTCTTAAGACAGGAAGGGAAATATTATTTAATGTGAATAATAGAGATTGAGACCTGGCAGGTTTAGTTCTGTGGATGGAATACAGCAGTTGAAGGATACAATTTGTTCAAAAGGGATAGAACACAGAGAAAAGGGAGAAGTTGCACTGTATGTTAAAAATATCTATTCTTGCTTAGAAGTTCAAATGAATAAACTTAGCAATGCTGAAGAAAGCTTTTGGGTTAATATAAGTGGAAGTATATGATAGCTGATGTCTGCTATTGCCTTCTCAACCAAGAATAGATTGGAGATGTTGCCTTCCAAAAACAAACTGCAGATATTTTAATGCAGTCATGAAGTAGAAGTGATGGGAGGCTTTAATTACTTTGGAGACACCAACTGCCAAATTTCTTCTAGGAAATGTCTGACTCTCTTTTATTTAAGGTGTATAAACAAAGGCTGGGTGGCCATCTGTCAGAATGATGTAGTTGTGAAGACCTACCAGATGAACTGCAAGATCCCTTCTAAGCCTTACATTCTGTAATTCTATTCTAATTCTGTGAGGAGGAGTTTCTGAAAAAGGCAATATTATTACCATCCATGAACTGGAATTTATTTTTCCTGCCCCGGTGCAAGACCCTACACTTGACCCTATTGAATATTCAAATTCAGCTGGGTTTGGCCCAATGTTCAAGTCTGTCAGGGTCATTTGAATCATTCTTTTGTCCTGTAAGGCACTAACCAATTTCCTAGCTAGGTGTTATCTGTGCATTTGAGGCTAAAGACCTATCTGACTATAAATGTTTTAATTTGGATTCCTGAGCTGAGCAGGGGATTGGACTTCATGGCCTTAACAGCCCCTTCCATCTCTATGGTTTTATGATTCTATATAATGTTGTAACAGGGGAAATAACATAGAAAGAAAGGTGCTGGTGTTTCAATGGGAGATTACAATAGCATGCTGAGCTAGCTATATTATTGAACACATTTAAGAAGAGCTAAATTCCTGTCATGGTGAAAAGTACAGAAGGAGGCAGGCTATAGTAGAATAAATTGCTTAATGGTAGCAGCCATTG